TCGCGTCTCCCCCTCAGCCCGGGCTCCGCGCTGCGGGACGAGCCCCCGGCTACTCCCCAGTCGCAGAGGAGGGATTCCGGGGGATGGGCCCCCTGGCGTTGCCCCTCCTCCCGGAGCGCCCCCTGCCCAGGATAGACGGAGCGGCGACAGGCCCCAGCCGCTGGGAAGGTGCTCTGCGAGCCGCAGCCGCCGCCGCCGCCGCCGCTGCCGCCGGGGAGGGGTGTTGTTTCCCTCACACAGGAGGAGCCGCTGAAGCAGCCGCCGCCATTTTGAACCCGTCAGACTCTCACATACACACAGCTCCTCCGCGGCGCACTGCGCAGGCGCCGCCCCCCCACCCCTCCTCCGGCTCGCCTCCACCCCCACCCCCTTCAGGCCTCCCTTCGTTTCTTACCGCTCTCCCGGGCGCACGTGAACGCGCACGCGTCACTCCCCTCTAACGCGAACACTCCGCGGCGCGCGCACGCGCGGATGCGTCGGCCTCGAATCGCCCGCGCCCGGCGACGCCGACGCGGCTCCCCGCCCCCCTTCGCGTCAGCCTGCCCGCCCTCCCGCCGGCCCACCGCCCCCGCTCCCCCAGGGCCTTCTTCCTGGGCTCGGGCCCGACCCGCTGCTCGCGCCTGCGCGCAGGCCAGGATCCTCCTCCGCGCGCCCTCCCCTCCCACACGCCCTCGCTGGAACACACACACTTCGGCTCTGTGACCCCGCCCCTCGCCGGCCAGCTGCTCCGGCGGCCCTCCCCCACCCCTCGCGGGAGGGTGGTGACCCCCCCAAGCCCCCACAAAGCACAACAACCCCCCTCAAGCAGTGGGAAGCAGCGCCCCGTTCCCCTTCAGCCGCCCTTTGCCCCAGTCGGCCCGTCACAGTCACACAACCTGAAGGCCGGGTGGCCTGGGCCAGAGCAGCCGTTGCCCGCCTCAAAGCGGGGTCTCCCGGGGTCAGGCTGCTGGGCTGGGCCGGTCCGACCTCGGCGCCGTGTTCGGGCCTGCCCAGGGCGAGTGGGCGCACGGAAGGGGCGCCTTCCCCCTGTCTGCCCTCCCCTCGCCCGCCGGCCGGTGGGCCGAGGGCGGCCTGCCCGCCATCCCCGGGCAGGCCCCAGCGCCCCCACCGCGGGGCCCGTTCGCCCACGGCTCGGGGGGCTCCTCGGTGCAGCGGCTCGGCCCCGCCTCACCCACTCCTCGCCGCTCCGAAGGGGCAGGAAACGGGAGTAGCATGTCTGTCCTGGGCTCGGCTCCCCCTGGGGAGCTCCAGGCGCTTGACAAGGGCGTCCACAGGTACCAGGCGCGGGAGTGGTCTCCGCGACGGCCCGGGGGCGGCGGCGGCCGGCGCGCCCACTGCGGGCCC